GTCGGAATTTAGCACGTATAAGGAATGTTTGTGGGTTTTAGCCTTTTGGCCAGCTTCTGCGAACTAGCTGCAACTGGAAATTCGACTATTACAATACTCGTTATGATATCCCAGAACAAGCTATAGCCGCCAAAATATATGACGTGGCAGTGGGTGGACGTGACGAAAATGCGTGATTTACAAAGCAAAACTGAGCAAACGAATCGCAACTTCGAAAATTCCTTTAAATCGAAAATCGAAAATTCGAAAATCGAGTCTCAGAAACAGCTTCGTGAAAAAATCGAGACTGCGAAACGCACATGACCGCGAAAAACCGAGACTGCGAAACCCGAGAAATTCTACCATAGTTTTGAAGGACAATTCGAGCTCATTCGCCATACCTTATGTTTAACCCTAGCTAGTCATGATATTGTTAAGTATGCTATTCGATTCCTCAAGTCCATTGACCACTCTCTTCACTGGCTTTTATTTCGGGTAGAAGAGCACAGAATGCGTCATCAGAATTTAATGGGCAGAAACTAAAATTTAGGCCTTGAAATTAAGATATTGAATAGCACATTCATGCATGTAAAAGAAATTGCACTGTGCTTTTTGTAATTTAAACCTCTTTAAACCAGGCGCGAAAAGAGAGAGTCTAGGATAACAGAAGAGTGATCACCCCTGAAATAAGGAATATGTGCAAGGGCTTAACTCTCCTACTCTTATTAAACTCTTCATAATAAATTAAAGAATTGGTTCATGCTTAGCGTGCATATATCGAGTTATGGATGCACGCAGGAAGTTTGGAGAGCACGAAAGAAGCCTAAGAGTTGCTCGAGGTGATAGTTGAGAACAACTCTAGCTTCTTGAGTGCTCTCCAAACTTCCCAAGTGCATACATAAATCGATATATGCACAGCTTAAAGCATGAACCAATTCTTTTATAACATGGCGACAACAACTTGGGCGCTAAACCATGTTTTATTTGTGATTGACCACAAAGTTCTCACAATCCACGGTGAGGGAAAACAAAGGTCATTAGGATCCTAACACGCCACAATAAGCTGAGCAGCGGTTGAACGAAAACGTTTAACCTGGTTTCTAAAATTGTCAACGAAAAATTCGCTCCTTCAAAATTAATTGTAATGAAAATGAAGGCAAGCGAAGTGCAAAGTACTCAGTGAAAATGTAGACAACAAAGTTAAAATACTCAAGTTTAAGTAAACATCTTTGCTCGGCAAAAGTCAAAGGCTCGAAGTAGAGTTTGGATTGTTCAGAATAATCTTCACTTTGCCGAAACTTAAACAAACGAAACTTGCACCACCCCTGTTGCACTAAACTGGACGGAAATTTTGCAGCTAAATTGAAACTGCACACGTTGTAGCGGAGCCCCATACCCATATAGGAAAGAAAAGGAAACCCGTGAATGGATTTGCTCATGGTTGTCATCGCTAGCGGTATTGCTCGTGGGCGCGTACGCACGACGGCGACGACGACGACGACGACGACGATGTTCAGAA